ATAGTGCAAACACTGCTAACCCAGTCACTTTGTTACAGGCAAGGACGAGCCCATTCACGGAGAGATGCTGGAAGCGTTGTGTGAGAGAAGCTCCCCATTTCTCTTCTTCTCTTTCACCTCCCTCCCCCTTCCTTTGTGGCCTTTTAAGATATTGGAAGCATCATGGAGGACACAGGGAGCAGCAAGTTGGCTCTCTAGTCGATTTCTGCCTACAAGCGGAGTTGAAACGAAATGCTGGAAAAAAAAGGAAAGGAAGGAATAAAGGAAAGGGCCAGACTGCTGGGCTACAGCTACTATACGCACCCACGTAAAGCTCCAAAGCCACTGAGCTCTGGAGGCAAAACAGTTACTACAGATATGCCACAATCTAGCAGGAAGTGCCTCCCTGACAAAAACCGAACACAAAGAGAGACCGAAATGCTACATGTTCCTTATAGCCAGGGGCATCCACAAAATAAACTATTAGCAGTACCGTACTGAATTTAAAAAAGGTATTCGTCCACCGTTACGATTTTAAACCTTTGCTCGCTCCTGTCGACGGCCGACCCAGTGCGCTGACACTAAAATAACCAGAAAAATATTTTGACATGCCACTTTAATTAGCCGATGTAAAGGGAATGGACACATAGTGGCCTAGATTCTTAATGAGATGTCATAGGTGTGAGCTTCTATTTCCCATCATTCCCTAGTGCGCTGATGCCAACTGGGAGCAGACATGTTAAAGTATGGTTTTGTGGATATAACGTACCATTCGTAGCGAGGGGGTATTTAGGGTGAATATCTAGTATTTTCCCAGAAGGCCTTTCACTGGGCCTCTGAGAATGTAGTGACTGCAGGATTAACACTGACCTCACATACCAACAGATGACCACTACTGTCAGTCATTAAAAATGACTTGCTGCTGTCTGTTAGATGGATTCTCTCTCTCAAACACACACCTCGAGGGGAAATGAGGAATGTCACCTTGTAGCACAGAATCTCTCTTGGCAATTTTGACACACTGCATCTTCTAAACATCTAAATCTACAACACCCATCACGGGCGTCAGCTCTCCTAGGTTTAGCACCCCTAATGAGAAAACCAATTTGTCAGGTTTTTAACACATCTGAGAGGCTAATTGCTTCATCGGAAGGAATCACACTGTTTTATTCTCTCTGATCATCTCCAAATGGGCTGGTGTATAAACCATTAAATTAAATTAACAGGGATCTGATATGTAGACGTGTCCCCAGACTACAACGCATCTCTGTTTGCAGCATCGAAGCTTGTCACGAAATCTGCTGGAGATTAGAGCAGCCTCGTAAGCACAGTTGCTATAATCCTGCAGCTTTCCCTGTCTTCAAAAACTGGGCCTTATCGTTGAGAAACTGGGAAAGTAAGCAAATTCAGAGACAAATTGGCATACATGGAATGGGTGACGCTGCATAATCATGTTGGTTACAAGTACACTAAAAGTACACAAGGCTTGATCGACTCATACAATCAGCACATATCAAAATGAAAATTAGCAAATGCAGTTTTAAAGATAAGATCGCTGATTAGTTTTTAACCTATACCATTTTCAGTCACAGGTGGATTTGGCAAAAACAAGCAGTCTGCATGTTCTAACAATAAGTCAATTATTTTTAGCACTTCATAACACACAGACTTAAGCCACATTTAATACGTGACCATAACAGGGATGTGCGTTCTATATTAAAATAGACTGTAAATGATCTTAAGGAAACTTTGAATAGTTAGAACAGATTTGTTAGGGGCATTCACATAGGATGTGATCTTGTGTTCAGAAATAGCTGGACAGAGCACAACGGAATGGAGCTAGTGTAAACTTGACAATCTTAAACTCAATGCTCATGAAGCAAGATACTACAAAACACACAAAATGTGTGATTTTAAAGGCATAACTTATTTGAGAGGGTTTTACCTCACAAACTACAATTAGTGTTTTATCAGAGTCCATAATCCACACCTGCATTTGTCTCCACCTTCCTCTATGTCTGTTTAGCAGTAGGGTACTAGCGTCACAGCTTACAGAGAGCGATTTGTTTCACACTTCTCGAAACAATCAATTTTAACTGTCATCTCAGAAAGATTCATCAGCCCTCTTGAGCCTTCTGCTCCCACTGAGTGAACCGCTTGACTTCTAAAGTTACTGATCATTTGCGGAGCTGTAAATGTACAAAACCAGATAAAACTGAATTTGACGGTGGGCCATGGTGTAAAGCTCTAAATCTGAATTTTATGTTATACGTCAAACTCAAAAAGATATGGATATGTAGATACGCATTGCTCTCTGAGTGTTTTATAGGTTGCAGTTTTATACATCACCATGTGTGTGTCAGCACTTTCATGAACAAAGACAGGGTGTCCCTCCAGTGAAGTGGTACACAGAGGACAGGGGTGTGAGAGAGAAACTGTTTGACCAGTATCTGGTATGCCTTTTCCACCAAAATGATGCTGGTGCTCTTGCCAGCACAGTTTTACACTTACAAGTGCAAGTATGGAAAAAAAAAAAAAAAAGAAATTCTTTATTCTATCAAAACTTGCTTTCATAACAGCCATAATTATTGAAATATACAATGAATGCTATTTACAAACATAGTATTCATAAAATAATTAAGGATGCACCAATATTAAACTATGACCAATATCCAATAAATGATATTAATTATTTAAAAAAACACAAATGAATAACAAAATAAAATAAATAAAAGCACTAAATTATAAGATATTAATACATTTAAAAAATCTGCAAGACAGCAGAAAGGCTGTATGCGATGCCATGGGTAAGTGAAAAGACGGGTGAGACTGGAGCGGAAGAACTGTGGGAAGCGTTCCGCATGTAAAAGTGTGGCTTGATTCTTATCTTTTTCCTTCCATTACGTTCCTGCCTTAATCCTCTCACTCGCTACTACCTTCATTACCAGCCCACCTTCAACTCAAATCTCTCTCTCGATGTCTCTTCCTTCCTCTGTCTCTCGATGGGAGTTGAAAAGTTTGCAGGGCCTTTGAGCCGAATCTCTCAATCACCCCCTTCTAACCCTGGCCTCTGAGGCTGTGTGTGCGTGCATACCCACCGTTCATGCACTCTCTCAGAGTCTGACGATCATTCAAATGCTGTGTGTGGAACTGATTCCTTGAGCAAGGCTGAAAATTTAAATTTGGTCTCTGCGAGCGGGAACCGTTCGGTTGTGGCAACTCTTCAGGGCCCGAGCCAGGATTACAGATTCATGCTGTAATGTGCTAGCTGCCTCTCAAGGTAGGTAAAAATCAATATTGCAGATGTTTATAAAACAGAGAGCCTCTCTCGGAGAGCTCTGAGACGTTACTGCCCCCCTTTTCTCTGCCCTAACCAATTAAATCCTTTCCACAATGACAAAATGAAGAGAGCCGAGGGGAAACAGACTGTGACCTCGTCTGTTTTATGATGTATTTAATAAGACAATTTCATGCCTCTAAATGAGCCAAAGATATCCTTCATTAAGACTGCACGAGCTGAGATGGACGGTTTGTCATTTAATCCAGTTTAGCATGGCATGATAAAGGGCATTAGAGTCCATCTGCCACACACAAAACCAGCATGTTTAAGAGGGGCTTTATCTGTACTGCAAAACTTAAATGGATACATCAGCCAAGATGAAAATGTTGTCATCATTTACCCACCCCTATGCCATGATCACATGGAGGTTTTATTATTGCAAGTCATGGTCACAGCGCCACAAACTTGCAGCAGGCAGTGCGTCACTTAAAAATCATCCTCTTATATTAAAGCAAATAGATTAAAACTTGTCAAGACACGGCTAAAAGCATCTTATTTTACAAAGAAACTCATGATCAAGGTGTAATGATGACAGTTTTCACTTTTGGGTAGACTATCCCTTTAAGTAAATTAAAAGATTAGATACAAATATGTACAGTATGTTACATTTACACTATGAAAACAATCTCTTCTGGGAAAGATTTCAGTTTTGTATAAAAGACCAAGAGCGTTGTGTAACTCTGAATGAAACACATGAGTAGCGCAAACACAGGCCTCCTGAGAGCCTGAGCATAGTTTGTGTGTGTATACACGGTGAGGATGACTTTGATCTCAGGGGTGCATAAGGTTGGAGTGAAAATTTGGAGAGAGCATGTAGCCATTTACTCATCTCCCACCCACACACTGTACAGAATGAGTCTCACACACTCAGCCGGCCGTGTATGTTTGTTTTCTTTGACGAACGTGTGTGTGTACTCGTGTATGTGTGTGGAGCGTTTAAGGCCTCCCCGCTCAAATGGAACAAAAGAGATATGAGCATAAAGAAGGGAAAAAAATCCCCAAACAAGAGGCGAAATGTGGGGTTTCTGGCCTAGAAAGAGAGTTGAAAGAAAGAAAAAAAAACCTGCACAAAGAAACAGGAGAAAGCGAGTGCCTGAGAGCAGTCAGAGAACGCCAAGGACTCCGTGTCCTGCTCTGAAATGAAGCGAGAGGCACATGGCTGGGCGGAACGGCTGCTTCTGGCCAGGTTTCAGCGGGTCGAAGCCTTTCCACCATGTCGCCTGATAGGGAACAGGCTCTTGCAGCTGTCCAGCCATTCTGTTCACTGCAGGCAAAACAGCCTGCAGCCAGAGACCCTGAGTTAAGCGCCCCCACCCCCTGCGGCAACCGACGGAGGAGCGGAGAATAGAAAGGTGGAATGGGGCGGAAATATGTGGGAAGCAGGTTGCAGAGCGCCATTTGTTCTCTGTTGGGAGCCTGAGATAAAAATATAAAATTTTAGCAGAAGACTGAAGCCAGGGGTCAGGGGTGGGATTAAAATCCGGCCCATATGCACAAAGGCGTCACACACCTAGAACAGGAAGCAGCATAAAGCATTTTGCTAAATCCAACACTGTTGCCTTACAAAGCACAAGCCTCGGGCAGGTCTGCAGAGAAGATCTCAGAGGTCAAAACATTTGTAGCAAATCACTTTCTGCTAGCACAAATACGTTCGGTAAGTATAACTGTGTTTACAACTTACTGCAGGCACCAGTAGCTTCTTGACTTCTTCGACAGCTCTTCTCATCTTGATCTCGGCACGTGTCTGTGTGTCCTCCACTGTGATCAGCACGTGCAGGTCTTCATTTAGGTGCTCCCAGTTTGGCTTCCCTCTGTTCTGCTCCTCCTGAGAAATGGAGACGACAAAAGAGAGAGAGAGAAAGAGAGAATGTTAGTAGTGGTGACAGGATTTTTTAGAGGACATCTAACTTTGAGTCAGTGTGAGAGAGTGAGACATTTTTTTGTTGCCATAGATGACAGCCGGCACTCTGATGCAGCCTCACAGAGAGTTAACCGTAGAAAGACTACGGTTCTTCAAACAGCAGCTATTACCCAGAGCACATTAACATGCGCTGGGAGTAGAATATTTACCACCACCACATTTACAAATAGTCAGGCAGCTGCCACACACATTACTGTAAAAATGACAAATTCTGATAACTAGTGGTTTTGCCACTAATTTTAGGTATGGTCATATGCTGTTCAGCACACTCTAATCAATGGATTTTCATGAGCAAGAAAACAACATTAAAATATTAAAACCATTACATACCAGCCAACTGCAGACTTTATTTGTTCAGTATAAGTTCAATGAAGTCTAACACACTGATCCAAGTGGAGGCCAAAAATATCTTAATTTTAATCAGAACAGGAAAAGCAGTGAAGCTCTTTGAGCACAATTCTCCCAGCGATCATTTAAAATGGCCTGCAGTTGGTGTGCATGACCGTTTGATTGGCTTGGGTTAACAGCATCCTCAAAAGAAAGCCATTATGCTACAGCAGAGCCATCTGAATAGCCGGAGGTGCTAAACTGAATAAAGAAGAAGCTTCACACTCTTGAGGGTGGGTCTTTTTCAAATCCAACAATAACCCACCACCCAAGCTTTCAACACCTCTCCAGAGCCTGACAGTTCATCTAGCTTGGTGTAGAAGCAACACTACAAACCTGATGGATGAAAGGTAAAAAAATAAATAAATAAAAAATAATATTCACCAGCCACCCATTGTGCCAAAATATACAATAAAAAAACGTAATGGTCAGAGACTGAAGAGGTGTGTAAAATAAAAAATATATAGGCCTGGGCGATAAAACTGTATTGATATTTATCGACGGTACCCCTTCTTCGATAATGCATATTCAGCGCATTTTTTAGACTGACAAATATGACTGCTGCACTCGCGTCTCACACAAGAGATTTATAGAAAGCCATGCAATGTTAAAACGGTTTAAACGTTTAGAAAACACATCACGAATTTGTGGAGGTTTATTCCGTTTCACTGCGTCTCATATGTTTTTAAATGCAATCTGTGTGAATGGCGGGTTGGTTCTTTGGATTAAGCAATGCATAAATACATGATGCTGTTTTGTTCATAATTGTTTATGCAATTTACGAAATTATATTAGATTTTTATGAGTTAATTTAGACGTAATGCACGTTTTTTATAGAATTACTTTACTTCCTTGCTTTGACAATTTAAATGCGCTGCATTATTTTGCTCATTGCGCCCACCTGTGGCCTCGGGAGACAAGACAAAAGTTGCCCTACCTACATAAGAAACCTATGAAAGACTCACTTTTTACTATTTTTGAATCTGCTCAAAAAGATGTGCCCTCTTTAGATTATAATTTTTTTTTTTTTTAGGAAAAAGGGATACGCTTGTGTAAATTTCTTTATGCAGTAACATAGCAAAATAGCAAATATATCTCCACTATCCATCCTTCAAGTTTTAGATTGAGCAATTAATGCTAAAAGCATTTATTAAGCCTATCCACTTCCAATCTCACATGCTTTATGCCTGAAACCATTAGTAATACAAAGACTGGATTCCAAGGTAAAGTAGATTAAAGACCACTTGACCGGCCCTAACCACCTCTTGTTCACATTGATTACAAGTATAATGTCGGCATCTGTCCCTCCCCCCCATGTTTCCCATGATGCTTTAAGATCATTGCTCAGTCAGACACCTCAATTAGCATGCCTGCTTCACAAACGAGCACAGAGTGGTGGATCTCAGCGGGGAGGCACCCGACATGCTTACTAATATACCGAATGAGACCCAGTCGAGTGCCTATGACACGCTTTCCACGGCACTGCCATGGATACTGTTACTATAGCAATGATCACATACACAAGCGAACAACACATGGGCTGTTTCAGTATTCTCACGACACTAAGGTATAATTCTGCCTCCTACTATGCTGGAGTGTCAACCAGGTAGTTACTGATGCTAGCTGATTAACCACATGTGTGCAGTACCCGGACACCCGGATTTAGGTCTGCCAAATGCACCAATTAGCTTTACTCGTTAAAAATAGATATCCTAAATAATAGGGGTGTGACAAGACACTTATCCCACGAGAAGAGACACGAGACTGGGTTCACGAGAACGAGACGAGACTTTTTTAAAGAAATCCTCAATGATGAAATATATAGGGAAAAATAGTATTTTATTCTTATTAATTAAAATCATGAAACTTATACATTTTCGCATCAATTTATTAAAAGTTTAACAAAAATTACATGTTTAGGGCCCTATGAAATGTTTTATTTTTTCTCACCATATTATTTGTATTTTTTATTGTTACCAAATTCTGTGTTTTAGCATGTCTAATTATTTGAATGCATAAAACAACTTAATTTATTCATTTTTTTCTTAAAGTAGCCTTATGAATTTTTTTTCCCCTCAGAAATTCTGTATTGTATATTTAAATTTTTTTCTGGTTATCAAATGAAGGCATAAAACATTAATTTAATTTATCATTTATCTTTTAATTATTGAAAATTAAGCAAACAAGATTTTTTGGCAAACAGGGGATTTACTATTAAAATTAAAACATGGAAAAAACGTTTTGTGTGATTATTCCTTAAAAAATAATGCGTTTCATTTTAGTAGTAGTAGTAGTAGGCTATGTATATTCTACTGAAAAATAGTTATAGGCACATTGTCTTCAAATCAAACTGGACTTTTATTTTGACGGATTGCCGTGAATACCTTTACAGTTCTGTGAATGAGATATGATGCTAGTTTTACTCAATCGGTGACTTTAAAATTGTAGTTTTTCACTAAGTACGCATAAACGTTGTTTTCTCAAAAACACAATCGCATACATACATGCTGCCAACATATTACTGTAGCCCAGTTTGTGCTGATTACAGTGTTATTAAACTTTAGACATTCAAATGTTTGTAAGCAACTGAAAAAAGCACAAATGTCAGGGCATGTCAAAACTTTTCCAGGCCCCAAAACACCCTCGGACCCCAGAGGGTTAAACTGTGAATTCTGTTTTTATGACTGGATAAAGACTACACCGCGTAATTTTCCCGCTTATCATGCGGCCACTTGCCTGATGTGAACAAAATATCTTGCATACCCCCACTTGTGAACGAGCCAGTGTAATGCAAATATATCTGAAAGGTCTACGCGAGGATATCGTCACGTTCTCGGCAGACCAGTCAGATCTCGCGAGACACATCGAATCCCGCGAGATCTTGTGCCACGAGATCTCGTCACACCCCTACTAAATAATGATCCTGACCAATCATGGCCTGTAACTGTACAAAGCACTCTTAAAAGCAAATGCTACTGCATTGTTTTCAAGGTGAGCACATGCTTTGCCATCCATGTATGGAGCGAGACCTTCAGCTCAGAGCAGAGCAAAGGCATGGACTGTAAACACACACACACACACTACCCATCAAGAAGCAAGGTCATTCCATGTCCTCTGAGGGTGGGTGAGGGGCGGGCAGAGCCGGGCAGAAAGAACAACCCGAAAGCCTCTGAAGAGGGCAAAGATTCTGTTTACCGATATACGAAACCACCGGAGAGGCGACACGCATGTGATGGGAGACATGTGATGACGGACCCATAAAAGTACAAGAATGGATCCAAAAGCAGCTCGTCAGCAAATATGAGAGGGTTTGTGGAACTTTGGCATGTGTATATGGACCAAGCTGTCGATCTTGACTGTATGTGCACCAAAAGCAACAGAGCAAAATAAACCATGCAAAGTTTTCACTGCTTCGATTCCACTGGCAGACGTCCTGGCTGGAAATAATCCCACCGCCCTATAAATACTGTTCATATCAACCAGAGCAGACTGAACTCAAGCTACAGTCTTTAACAGCTGTCCCGTGTGGAGTAGTTTACAGGCACCTGTTCAACAGGAGTGGAAAATTGACTGGGGGAAAAAAACTAAAACTACCAACATGGGCAGGAGAGCGTTTTTTTGCAAAAAATAAAAATAAAAAATACATCAGAATTTTTACTGACACAGCTGCTGGAAATGTTAGCTATCATTATAGTTTCACAAGTGTTGACAATCTTTTTTCATTTAAATTTAATGCATGAATATCAATGCTTCAAGTTTGCAACAAACTAGTCTGGAAAAACAAAGCATTAAATAAAAATTCACCCCATCTATTTTCTAAATGCATCTTTTTGTGTTAAAAAAAAATCACCAATGCCTGTTTTTTATTTCTTAAAATTTGTGTTGACCTCAATTTATAATCAAATTATCAACTCAATTTTCCATTGAGACTTTTCTCTGGTAACATATGCCAGATTTCTCCAATCATTTGGTCCTCAATTTCTGCCTCCATCCAAACAACAACAAAGAGATAGAACCAAGTTCCCACCCTATATTTTTTTTCTTTTTCCCTTGGATGTCACAATATGAAAGAAAGATATGTCGCTTCCGTTACATGGTGACTTTAAGGAACTTGTTTCCTATTATAAATGTGTGCTGTGATACAGGTGTAAAGAAAAAAGAAAGAAAGGGAACTCAATTTAACCAAGAACAAAGACTTGAAAATAAAAAGAGGAGGGACAGAGGGGAAAAAAGCTTCAGAGAGCCAACTGTGTGGCTCTGGAGAGGTTCTGTGATGCTCTGGTGAGGGTGGCCGTCTGTTACATTTGATCTGTGCTGTGGTTTCTGAGAGCCCTCAATTTGAACAGTGTTTGATCAGAGGACGAGGCTACACAGTGGGACAGGTTATTATCCTGAGTTTGTCTGTCCTGTCCACTCCCATTACATCGACCTGAGCTCGGCTTTAGTACACGCACACAACAAGCGTGAGGACGTAGAGCCTCTTGAGGCTGTGCGAACTGGTGTATACGCAGCTCTTGAGAGGGTAAATGGGGTTAAACCACCTTTGGGGAGCTGTTAAATAAAATGTCGGTCTGATTTAGGGCTAACGAAGCATTTTCTCCTGAGACTTCAGGTGAACCATGCCTCTACCTTTCAGAGTAAACATTAAACACACCACTAACAAACAACTCATCGCACTGTGTCGCATCCCCACGAATGACCTATAACCAAACACTCTGTGATGAGAAAGACTCCCAACTCCACTTCTTCTCTGAATGAAAGTCACTCCTTTTTCTTTCCTCTATTTTTCTACAACTCCATCGCTCTCTAAGTCCCCAGAGGCAGCAGCAAACTAAATTATTGAGCACAAAAACGGCTTGGCTAATGGACACTAAATAAACAAACCCCTCAGCCCAGACCTGACTCTGCTCACAACTCTTCAGTCTCTTTAGATGGGTCTAACTATATGCACAACTGTTAGTTTCAGTGTGCGTATCTCACTATTTGCAGACTCAGTCTCACGTTCACTACTGAAACATTGAGACATAGAAACATACACAAGACAATGGACAAAAAAATGGTGATGTTAGATCGTTTGTTGTCTTTCATGAAGACCTGGGGTATTTCTCTTTACAACTATGTTTATTCTAAAAAAAACAAAAAACAAAACAAAACGCACAGTCTGCTCCAACTCTCCGGCCTCTAATAGAGCATAAGGTAGCTGAATTAAATTACTGTTAAAGATGTAACGACAGTAGCGACATATCTTTTCTTTAGTATTATGATGTACATTCAAGTAAAACAGATTAACAAAAAAGAAAAAAGTAAGATGGGGACTTGGTTCGATCAACTGATTGTTAATTGGATGGAGGCAGATCTGAACACGAACTTGCAGTCAATTGTAACACCGTAATGATTGGAGAAGCACAGCATAAAAAATATATTTTGATTAACAATTACGAGGTCAAACAAAATTAAAAATAAAACGTATGCATGGATGAATCATTCACAATAAGATCAATAACATGCATTTTAAAAAAATTTGGTAAATTTTCATTTCATTCCCACTTTAAAATGTTTTTCTTAAAATTACGAGCATGAACTAGGAGTAAGAAAAGACCAAGCTCAATGTTGGATTGCGGACAGTAACATCAGTGGAACATAATGTGCTCCCTAATGTAGCAACGGTCAGTTATGTCAGCTTTTGGCTCCACTGAAAATCGTTGGAAACATGAGAGATTCGCAGGTACCCCAGCCAAGAATAAGCAACATTTCAGTGGAAAAGGAGTATGACAGAATCAGTCAGGAGACTATTCTGAGAAACTCCGTTAGGAAGCAAGAAAGCTCATTCTCTGTGTTGGGGAGTATTCTAGCAAGCATTAGATGAGTCATTCAGACAAGAGTGTGTGTTTTACATTCAGCAGGGCAATAGAAGACATAATCACTACAGAAATGCTATATAAAGGAAGAGAGACTAGAGAGAACTTCTTTCTAGGATTAATCAAGCCCTGCATCAAACCCTTGAGTTCACACATACGGTTTCTCCAGAGGGGAGCATAGCTGGGGCCCAGGTGTGTGTGTGTGTATGTGTGTGTGAGTGGTAATGCTAATGCACAGTGATGGGGATTTCCTGATAAAACAGCTCCACTGGGACGCTGACAGAGATACAAAGAGAAAGACAAAGACTACACTGGCCAAATAATGCTGATTCCTGGCAAAAAGGTCTCTGTGGATTGTTCAACACTTTAGAATTAAATCAGCACAGTTGCTTACTACAGAATCAGCCATTTCTTCAGATTTTTCAGCATGTAGTGCTGAGCAGTTACATGTACAAATATAATTTCGCCCGACCCTCGAGAAAGTCTCTGCCAGATCTGACGGGGCAGCAGTACTGTTATGTCTCTGTGCTACATAACTCCCACCTGAAGCCATAATTTCCCATCATTCAGGGTGTAGCTCTTGTTCTGCTGATCACACAGTGGGTCTCTTCTGAGGCTGTAAAGAAAGAACTGGGTCCTACTTTCTAGTATGTCTACCATGTGCTTTTGTTCTCTCTGACACCCACACCACCACAGCCAGTCCTGAAATAGAACTGGGCCTCAGCCGGAGCCGTGCGAGCTAACCGTGAGAGTGCAGGAGATAGGAAAAGAAAGTCATTGGAGAGAACAAATGAGTAAATTGGCTCATTAGGGACAACCTGGATCCAAACGGCAAACGTCAGCAGAACACGGTCTGTGAAGGAGGAAGAGGAGTTGAGAAAACTCCAAATTGTGACTAAGTGGTCATATTTGTCCAAGCTGGTTCGACATGTCCTGCTGGTGCAACAATTTTGTCACAAGTTGTGCTGGTGCCCCACATTTTTTTTTATTACGTGGTGCTGCCATTTTTACACAAAAATTTAATCAAATCTCAAACTGAACCACACAGCACGGACAAATCATCTTCCCATATGGACAGTGCAGATCAGGCCAACATGCCGCAAATTTGACCAGTGATGGCCCTGCTGTGAGAACCAGTTTGAAACATGGCTCAAGCATGAATTGGGGCACAATACTTAATTTAAATGGACCCTGTATAAATTAGGTGTTTGTTAATTTTTTTACAGATGTTATTTTTGTTAATATCAGCAAATGTACGCAATATCTTCTATCAAAATCAAATGTTTCGTTGCATGTCTCACCTTCTTTCTGTCTCTCATGGAGCTCCTCCCTCTAACCATGATCTTGCAGCCAGTCTCTGCCTCCAGTTGCTTTGCTGTGAGTCCACGAGGGCCAAGAATTCTCCCAACAAAATTATACTGGAAAAACAAACGGTAAAGAGTGAGGGAGATTAGAAAGCATTCAGAAACTCAGAGCATATTTTATTGAAAACAGGATGTTGTGTATACACACAATGCTGATAAAGTCACTAAGAAGTGGGTCACAACTTAAATGTAAATAAATACTTCATTAATAAATGTGTCACCATTTAAATCACCTTCCTGTTGTTCCAAAACTATAGGCTTTCACGTTAATTGTAACATAAAATGAGTCAATTAGTTTCATTGCAACTTCCATACAATGAAAGTAAATTGTGACTGAAACCATTAATCTGCATACCATCTTTTGTGAAAAGAGAAGAACGGTGACAATTCTCCCACAGAAAGCTCACTGGAGAGAATCTGTATGTGGTGGAATGACGTTTGGGGGGGGAATCAAAAAGACAATAATTCAATTAGCTGCACTATAAAATCCTCAGAATTCTCTGCCTGATATTGTGAGCATAGTGTGTAGTTGTTTATTTCATGCAATAAACACAAAAAAACCTCTCTCCCACACTAATAATTCAATTAGCTCCACTGCAGCTTCTGACAAGCAAGCGTCAAGGCACTTTTTCAAATTAAATTTGAACAAATAACTCAACGGCTGACGTAAATACTTCAACTGACCAGGCGGCTAATCACTCTTCCTCCTCTGGCAGCCGTTTATGAGCTACGGCTACAACGAATCAGGAAGTTGGATAGAAAAACGAGAGCTCAAAAACATGGTCAAGCTCATGTTTGCCAAACAGAATGCTAAGCAGCGCTGCAAAGCCACTTTCTTGATTTTCCTCCTTCCTGCTCTTCATTTTTTATGTCCTTCATAATTCTTTCTTTCGGTTATCGTGCTCCGAGGCACGGAAAGGGGAAAAGCCGGCTGTATGTAATGTAAATAAGAAATGAAACAACAGGGGGAAAATTAAAGAAGGGGAGGAACTTCTCGTTCTTATCACGAGGTTCTTATCGTGGAACCTCGTCCCTGACGCTGTGCTCCGGGGCTTTGTCGGAGCGCACGCTTTATTTACTTTCGTAATCCTCCCAGCTTTACAGCGCCTCTCCGACAGCACTGCTCCAAATAAAAATAATAAAATAAAATCCACTCTTTTTCACTCTCTATCTCTTATCAGTTCGGTTCTGACTCAGGGTAAAGACAGAGAGAGTCAGTCTTCTTGTAAGTGCTTAATCCTGTCCTGTATGAATAGAGGCCACATACACACGGCAGCTTAATACAGTTGTCGCTCCTCTTCCGAGTGCTTAATCAAGTTCTGCACGCACAGAGTTTGGTTATTTATGAGAGTTAAAACCACATTCTATCACTCATAAAAAGTTCAGGTACTGACTGCCAAATAAATATACATATAAATATAAATACGCAAAGTATGTTCAGAACTGAAATAACTTTTACACATTTAAAATTTTTGATGTATTGGATGAAATAGGATTAAAAATTTTAAAATGTAGCAATACTTTGATAACACGAGTCCTATTAAAAAACTGCAGATTTTGTTTACATAGCCTAGTTAAAAACAGTTTATGAATAAATTAACAACAGACCCTTTATATGCACAAAATATGGTAGATCTACACTACCGTTCAAAAGTCAACAAGTTTTTATTTTGTGAAGTTTGTGAAAAAAGACTCTTATGCTCAACTAGACCATGTATTTAATCAAAAATACAGTAAAAACAGAAACACTATGAAATATTACAAATTCTAATATGCCTCTAATAATTTTTTTCTAGATTCTTTGAATAAAAAGTTAAAAAACAGAATTCATTACAAATATTTTTACTATCAATTTTAATCAATTGAATGCATCCTTTCTGTATAAAAAACATTTTTCAAAATCAATAAATATATAAAATTGTATCGATCCCAAACTTAAAATTTTGCATCTGCATTATATCAGGAATATATACTTGTTTTTGGATCTTTAACAGAGGGACAAACAAGAATTTACCTAAGCATTTGAACATTTTTAAATGGCTAATGTACATAGTCGCATAAAATCAATTTACAATTGACAATAGGGCTGCACGATATATCGTTTCAGCATTGATATCGCGATGTGCGCATCCACGATTAGTGGTCGACCGATATGGGTTTTTTTTGACAGCCGATGCCGATATCTTGGAAAGCAGGGTGGCCGATGGCTGACTCTCCTCCGGTCAGCATTCATTTTGCATGGACCGACCATCACGCAGAGAACACGCGATCATGCAGGATACAAATGCACACTTCACAAGATCTCAACCAGATTCGACTAAGTCTGCAAGGTTTGTGAAATTAAATGTTCATTAGTCATTCAAAGATTTGTTTAAATGATATAAATGCGTATTTGCTGAATGCTGACGGCAAACAAGAAAGTATTATAATGTTTGCCTTTCTATTACTAATAATATTAAAGCAATCGTTATAATACTTTTTTGTATACAATTTAATTCCTTTGTTTAACAGTTCTATCTGATTAATAGATAGACTTCTATCCATATTAGACAGAACTGAACGACGACAGCGAACAAAGAGGGAGAATGTGAGTGGTGTGCGCTCAGGCGCAGCCGTTCTCAGCGCCGTCAAAATAAAAGTCCGGCCTCGAACACATCGGCCAAACAGAAAAACGTATCGCCTTGGCGATATATCGGTCGACCACTATCCACGATAGTCACATCGCAGGATGTGCGATGTTTAGTATACTGATCGTTATATTTATACTGATAATATTCTTTGCTCACACACAGAAACAGTGTCTACACCGGACGCGACAGCATGAGTCTGTCTACATTGGACGTGACACAGTGACCTTTGCAAATCATTTGAACTGTGTCAGTACGTCATAAATAGAACGAGGCATTAGTTTACTGTTGGGGATTTGTCGTGCCACACCGCATCGCATCCAGTGTAGACAGCATCACTAATTATAATGGGTTCTATAGTATTTTGTTGCGTCGCACCGCGCCCTCGCGTCCGGTGTAGACACGGTTAGAGCCACGCAGATGCACATGAACACCGAATTCCGTTCACTTCCGCATCTATTTGTGCCTTAAAGGCACAATATGTAATTTTCGCTGCTGGAGGGCGCATATTCAAAATAAACAAATAGACAAAGGTGTAGTTTTGATGACGCCGTGACTGAGTGTGGAATCATGGGAGTTGTCGTCTTTATCCCCACAGCCGATGCAATCCGACGGGACTCGGGCAGAAATCATGTTCATGGATGAGCCAATGATTTATTAATGTAGTAGAATGAAGCAGGGTGAGGCCGAAACGAGGCCGCTGAACGAGCGTGACACACGGCTCGAAAGCAGCGGAGCTTTTATTATGCCACAGTAGACCGCTTATGTTCCTTCCGGTCGTGCGTATGCAAATCATGGAGTAATTTTCATTTTTGGGTGAACTATCCCTTTAAATATCCGAAAAAAGTAACTAATTATTGGTTTGATTATGAAGCATAAGCTGTAAAAAATTATATGGTTTGTAAGTCATAGCAACTTATGTTTTTGCATTACTTTAACTCAGGGGTCACCAAACTCGGTCCTGGAGGGCCGGAGTCCTGCAGAGTTTAGCTCCAACTTGCCTCAACACACATGCCTGGAAGTTTCTAGTATGCCTAGAAAGACCTTGATTGGCTGGTTCAGGTGTGTTTAATTAGGGCTGGAGCTAAACTCTGCAGGACACCGGCCCTCTAGGGCCGAGTTTGGGCACCCCTGGTTTAGGTGAAGGTAAACAATTGAGAAAGAAAATGGATGTGTAACAGTATGGTTCACAGCAGTTTACTGTTCCTGTTGCTTTCTGTCATGAATGTTAAACAACAAAAAACATACGGTAAAGAAAAATCACTTTTGTAGATTTAACAGATTTATTAGATATAATTTATACAGTGAAGACTATGCAGTGTTATTTTACTTTTAATTATTCAATTTCTGTACCTGAATACTGTTAGACTTACCTGAAAAAATATAAAGCACTGTTTATTTCATTTTTATCTTTGTTCTATTATATTTATCCATGCTTGTAATTTGTTTATTTTCTATGCTGATTTACTCACCTACAAAATCACCCCAATAATTACATTTTTTTTCCCAAATAGAGCTATTCCAAGTCATCTGGTGCTGGGTAAAAAATATCGCTACATCGATATTAATCTATTCTCATTTTTACGGAACAATATCAATTCTTAAATCCCAAGAATCGATTAGTTTAGCCTGTTTTCAGTTAATGGACGGAACATTGAAGGGGACGGAACGTCCCATCCGATATATCGCAATAAGCACTTTGGTACTTTTAATATGAAACAAAAGTCCTATTCGGACAGGACTAGTTTTACAGGGGGTCGTTAGAGAAATTTGTGTTTCACAGATGTACTTGGTGATTGTAATCCCGTCCGAATCTGCCACGCCTGTGTTTTTCTCACACAACCTCTGTAATAATTCCAGAGCAAATTACCTACTGTTTTTCAGCAAACTCAGTGATCCTCAGAAAACGAATCCCGTCCGAATGCGAATGTCTGTGATATTTTTTTTCACGACGCGTTTCCTTGTGTGTTTTGGCCAAGGTGAATTACCGTAGATGCTCTTACCACGCGCATGTTTGATATATTTGCTTCCCAGCAAAGAAATAATAATAAAAATAGGGCACTTCCCATCCAATACATCGCAATAAGCATTGTGCTTTGGTACTTCTAATAGGAAACCAAGTCTCAGATTTCAAATTCTGTCCAATGTATTGCAGTATTACAATAAATGCCGTTTTGGCGCTGTTTAATGTGGAGTGACACATCGCTGTAGCGCCTCAGATCAACAGACATGGCAGCGCGAGGTGCGCGTAAACTGATCATCTCCTCCACATTAATACCAGTTTCAGCACAAAATAAACATGACTAAACATCCGAAGGCAAGTTAAAAGAAAGAGTACAACTTTACAATCCGCATCCTGTCTCATGTAATCGCTCAATCTTTGTTTCAGCCGCGCAAAGACGTCAATATAACGTCTTGTAAACGATG